TACTTATGAAATGTGAAATATTTATCGAAATGATAACGTAGCTGAATTCAGCTGGCACTGTTTTCAATATTGTAATATCAAATGTTGAGCATTTTTTTATTTTTTGTGATATAATCAACAAAAATGTAATCAAGTTCTCACTCAGTTTTAGTAAATATATATATATGTATAAACGTAACTTTGTACCACGGTTTGTAATGTAGCATTTAGTATGTAGCGTAGTTGATAATGCATAAGATATAAAAATATTTCCATCAGTAAAAACTTTTATGTATATGCACATAAATATGAATATAAAAAAATTCAACTTAAAAGCGTTTGAAGTTTAAAGTCTAAGTCATTGTTCATTCATATGCTTTCATAATAATCTTATTCATATACTGCTAAACAAGGAAACAGGAAATATCGATAATATTTTTCTTTTTAATATTATTGAACTTATCTGAATGAGAACGAAGAAACAATTATAAGAAAACGGTAATCGATAATCGTACGTATATCGATTTTAAATTAAATATATTTACGTGAAATACATATGTATTTGAATATACAAAAAATATAAATTTATATGTGCATAAACAGCTTGTTATTCTTTCCTATTTATTGTTCAAATAATTTATCTCTTTGGATATCAACGTCTTAAAAATACAATCGTGATTAGATATACGTACATAGATACTTGAGAATTTCGATAATTTTATTGATCTTAAATTTTACTTCACATCAAATTAAAATTGCATTCGAGAACGTTCTATTTCTGTTATATGAGTAATCCATTCATTCATTCTCACAGCATCTCACATGAATCTCACAAGGGATTGAACTATTCCTAACGGACTTTGTAATTTTCCATAGGGCTCGTTTCTTGTTAACGAATTTACCGGCGTCCCCAGGCTACGAGATTACAAACACATAGAAAAATTTTTCTATATGTGTATATATAAAACTTACGCAAGATTGACACACATGAGAAGCTACGAAACGCATGCGTAAAAAGACTACGTAAGACAGGGCAGTATACTTTTAGGGGGTCTTTTGTTCAAAGTTATTCTTTCGAGTTTTCCAATATTTCTGTATGAAACTTGTAATCTTCATGTCCATTTCTCTAATCGATATGAAAATCTGAAAACTAGGAAGATTAAGATACTTTAGTAGAAAAATATTTTAGAATTTAAATGTAAAATTTTCACAGTCAAAATACAATAGATTAAATCAATTACAAAAAAAAAACTAATTCTTTTTGTGGACTAATTTGTATTAATATATTGATATATCAGAATAAGTTTCACAGCTGTGATTAGCTGGAATTTATAACGTATAACTTGTAAGAAATGCATATGTTTAGAGATGTATATTTTAATTACAGTATATTCACGAATAATTTAATTACAATTTATTTTTGAAACGACTTATTTTCAGAAAGTATGAATGAAGCGAAAAAAATATAAATGAAACAATAAATCACGGTTCATTCTTTGATATACGGGGTTGTTTTCATAGGAGGGGACAGGGATCGACGTAAGATATTTATAAAAGGAACTGTGTAAAACTACCGGCATTATGACGGCATTAGTAGACGACGATCTGTCGAATCTCAAAGTACAATCCCAGTATTAAATATTCTGTGTTTCACGTGAGAAAATTTATGAAAAGCATCAAAATGGTTTTGAACGCACCAATGATGAAATTCTACAACGGCAATGAAGTGCCATCATTCGGACTTGGTACATGGAAGGTCAGTATTTTCATTGATGATATATGTATGCACGTAATAGTATAATATTAGAAGTAATATGAAATTTATCTATATGGCTTAATTTATTTGCTTTTAAAAAAGATATAAATAAAATTGATTATATGACAAATATATATGACCTTCCGAAATAACGTTTGTTTGTTACACTAATGAATTCCATTCATAGTCTATTCATAATTCTTTACTTCTATTGTTAATTGAAATGTGTAACCATATTGTTTGAGGCGCAATATGTTTCTACGATGTTCTCAATCTATTAAATAGATGAATGGTTTTTTGTATTGAAACGTAACGATTCGTTTACCGAGTTTGTTTTTATGATAAAGACGTTATAGCAATTCCTATGTTTATTTTCTAATATTTAATGTATTAAAATTTCAAATATGGAAATAATAAATAACGAATCCTTCGTCATGTTAAAATTTATGAAATTATCAAATCTTTTTTATGATTTATCTGTTTGATGTGTAATGATTAGATTTTTATATCTTGCTTTCGTAATTCGATATTGCATTTCAGTTAAATGAAATTTTATTATATTACATATTTGGATAAAATTACTGTATTAAACTTTGTACATGCATATTAAAGATTATTTTTGATTAACAAAAGTAAGCAATTCAATAGTTAATATATAATTAGTGTATATAAATGATAACTAAACAATTAAGAATTAAATAAAAAGTAAATGACTCTTATTAACATAAATATATTTCTTATCTATATATTTACTATATATGATAATTTATATGTTTGAATTAATCTATGATTTGCTTTTTCTTTTTAGTCTAAACCTGGAGAAGTTACTCAGGCTGTTAAAGATGCAATTGATATAGGATACAGACATATTGATTGTGCCCATGTTTATGGTAATGAGAAAGAAGTAGGTGCTGCTCTTAAAGCAAAAATTGATGAAGGTGTTGTGAAAAGGCAGGATCTTTTCATCACCAGTAAATTGTGGAATACTTTCCACAAACCAGATTTGGTTGAACCTGCTATTAAGACAACTTTGTCAAATTTGGGTCTCGAATATTTGGATCTTTATTTAATTCATTGGCCAATGGCATATAAAGAAGGAGATAGTCTTTTCCCACAGAATGCTGATAATACTCCTGCTCTTAGTAATGCAGACTATGTAGATACATGGAAATCTATGGAAGCTTTAGTATCCAAAGGACTTACTAAAAATATTGGTGTTAGCAACTTCAACTCTGAACAAATAGACAGATTGCTTAAAAACTGCACTATTAAACCAGTTACAAACCAAGTAAATATAAGTTTCATTCAGTCTATATTAACATATTACCTATATTAATGAAACCTACATTTTATAATAAATTATTTATTTATAGATTGAATGCCATCCATATCTTACTCAAAAGAAGCTTTCTGAATTTTGTACCCAAAAAGGTATTCTTGTTACCGCCTATAGTCCCCTTGGATCACCTGATAGACCATGGGCTAAGCCAGATGATCCAAAATTGTTAGAGGATCAAAAATTGGGTGAACTTGCGAAAAAGTACAATAAGACACCTGCTCAAGTACTTATTAGATATCAGGTATGTGCTAATATTTCATTCATGAACTATAGTCAAGTAATTTTATAATACAATAATTATTTCTCTTTTAGCTGGATCGTGATCACATAGTTATTCCTAAATCAGTTACAAAGTCTAGAATTGCTCAAAACAGTGAAGTCTTTGATTTCAAACTTTCCCCAGAAGATATTGCTTACATTGATACTTTTGACTGCAATGGCAGAATCTGTCCAATGCTTGGGTAAGTATTTTTTACTTATGAATGTTACAAAGTTTTTAATATTTTTTTTTTTAATATAATCATTTATATTTTTTCAGCACGGAGCCCAGCCCTTACTATCCTTTCCATATTCCATTCTAAGCAATTGAATTAGGATAAAATGTACAAACTACTTCCATTGTAATATTTACAATATCTTTTTTCTGTATATTTTCTACATGAAATTCGTAAAATAAACTATAATAAAAACATATATATTTTTATTTTCCATATGGTCGTCATACTTTCAAATATTTTTTCAAATAAACGAAAACTTGAAATAATAATAAATGTCTGTAAAAATATGTAATATCAGAACGTAAAATATCAGAATTGTTAGTTTTGCAAATAAGCCTTTATATTTAGCATATGTAAATTTAAAATACAATGCTAGATTATATCTTGAACGTGATAATATATTATTTTATTTCATAATTATATTATTTCATAATTAGTAAATAGTTTGTTTGCTAAGTATTGAACATTTTCACTTAAAGATATGACACAGCAATTTTAGCGTATCATACTTGATCAAAGGTAAAAGATTCTATATATCTGCCTAGTATAAATACAAATCTTTACCGCCGGTGAGTGTCAGTTTATTGAAGTATTCCAGTGTGTAACAATGGTGCAACAAGTTGTGAAATTTTATAACGGCAATACTTATCCCATTCTTGGTTTAGGTACTTGGCAGGTATGTTACAATTTGGAAAAGCAATATTAATATACTTATTAAACAATATATTATTAGAAAATAACTATTATTTAAATATCATTAATAATATACGAGTACGTTTTATCAAAGCATAATTTTTTTCCGTAATTAAAAATATTTTCCTAAATAAAAATTTTTTCAATTTCAACATCTGAATAATTTCTTTTTTTTTTTCTTCTTCTTTTCTTTATACATCGAATAAGTCTAAACCGAATGAAGTGACTGAAGCAGTTAAATATGCAATTGATATCGGCTATCGGCACTTTGATTGCGCTGCTGTTTATGGAAACGAATCGGAACTAGGTGTGGCAATTGCCGCGAAAATCAAGGAAGGTGTTGTTAAACGAGAAGATATTTTTGTCACAAGTAAATTATGGAATACGAACCATCGACCTGATCTAGTCGAACCTGCATTAAAGAAAACTCTGGACAACTTTAAATTGGAATATCTCGATCTTTATTTAATGCATTCACCTATGGAATTCCAACGTAAGTTTCAATTTTTTCCTTTCATTTAATCAATAAATTAAATGTATTTCTTTTTGTAGCTGGTGATAATCCATTCCCCAGAGATGCCGATGGTAATTTTATAACCGGTGATACTGATTATATTGATACTTATCGTGTAATGGAGGACCTTCTAAAGAAAGGACTTGTAAAGAATATTGGTATTAGTAACTTCAATCCTCAACAAGTAGAACGATTACTTTCTAACTGCACGATAAAACCAGTGACAAATCAAATTGAATGCCATCCATATTTGACTGAGAAGGAGACATCTGACTTTTGCAATTCCAAAGAAATTCTTATCACTGCTTATTCTCCTTTAGCTAAACCAGGTTTACGTGCTGATGAGCCTAAACTTTTAGAAGATCCGAAAATCACAGCAATAGCTACTAAGTACAAAAAAACTCCTGGTCAAGTTGTACTGCGGTATCAAGTATGTATTATTTTATTAAATCAACAAGATTTCTTTTGCTTGCACTGTTGAATTAAATTAAGAAAGAAGAAATTTATACAATAGATACAACGTGGACACCTGGTGATTCCTAAATCAGTAACAAAGTCAAGAATACAAGAAAACTTCAATATCTTTGATTTTGAATTAAGTCCCGAGGACATGAGTACAATAAATGGCATGAACTCTAATACAAGAGTTTGCTTCAGAAGTGGCCTGTACGTAATATAATTTTCAATATTTCTAATACAGAAAATAACGTTTAAAACTCTTTCATTTTATAACTATCTGTTTGATTTCATTTCAGCATGAAGCACAAATATTTTCCGTACAAATAAACAAATAATAATGATAAAACATATCTTTTCTGAAGTTATCAAATATTTTTTGTAAAATAATAGTTGTAGAATTCAATTTTGAAATGAATAAATGAGAAACTTACTTATTAGTTGCACTGACACAATGACTCCTCACTGTCCTCACAACCGCATGAGCAACATTCGCAAAATTCATCTTCACTGTTTTCTTCGCCCAATTGCTTTGAATCAGGTTGATATTTCTCCGAAGGAGCTAGCAGATCATCATCATCATTACAATTACATGGTGCATCGGATAAACCACGGGCACATTTGCCTTTGCAATTGCATTTGCAGCCTCCAATTGGACGTGAGCAGGACATCATTGGACAAATTTCACAGGGACTTCTGAGGTCATAAGATAACATATATGGTTTGCATCCTGTCCGAATACCTGTGTTTTTTTCATATTAGCTTTTATTAGAAAATTGAGTTCGTTACATATATATATAATAGATACATACCATGATCTTCCATTATATAACGCGGTAACTTGCAAAAAGGCTTCCTTGAGGATGTAGTACAACCTCTGATAGGTTTGTTGCAAGAGATTTTGCAAGGGGAAATGTGAACACAAGTTTTTTTTAAAATACATTCAAGATCTTGAGGAGTGAAACAAGGACGATGACACTGCGCCGATTTCGACTTGGGTTTTGACAATTTAGGTGGCTCATCATCATTTACTTTTTCGTCTTTCAATGTTCTTTCAATAGCGGGCGATTGAGTTTGTGGATTAATCGAAACAATATTTGACTTTTCAGTTTCCTGTAATATTTTTTAGTTTCCTGTAATATTTCTGTGAACATTAGTAAATGATTTATTATAAAAACAAAATAATTTCTTGTACATTATCCTCAACATGCGATGACCTGAGAAGATCTGTACTTCTCATCTGAGCCTCTGATTTTTCATTATTTGACCACCAATTCGGCATCCAGGAAGATCTTTTTACAGTTTTTTCCTCAGGTAGTTCAGACTCAGTTTCTTGATCGCGTTTCTCAATATTTTTTTCCGATGTAGAAATTATTGCGTCGCTTTGCATCTGTGTAAATACGGAAATGAAAAGTCAAAAAATTTATCATATTTTATTTTAAATGCATAATTTTCACCAACAATAACAGCTTCCTCCTTTCCTTGCTTTCCCCTCGGCTCACTTTGCCTGTGCAATAAACACTTTTTAGGGACGTAACATATTCGTTTCCCAGTACAATCTAAATCTTGAACGCAGCTGACGATTTTCTGTCGGGTACAAACATTTTGATACTCTTTGGATGTTAACAATCGATCCATATGCTCCTTGAAAAGCGTTTCCTTCTGTTCCAACTGTTTAATACAATTTTTCAGATTTAATTCTTCCTCAGCTAATTGGCGAATCTTTGATAAGCAAAGCAAGTCATCGGAATGTATCGAATGAAGACTCGGACTGGCGTGACGTCTCGCTTCCTTCTCCAGATTCTTCAATGTCTCGTTCATCTCTTTGTTCATAAGCTCCAAAGATTCTAATTCCATTTCTGTCTCTTCCAATTTAACATCCGCTTGAATGATCTTCTCCTAATGAGATTAAATTGAGTTTCGTCATCAAGTGTTTAATAAAAATATAATATGAAAGAAGGGGCGCACTTGTCGTTAGAAATACGTCAAATTTTGCAGCGAGTGCAATGATTCAAGCACGCTGGTAAGATTTACCCGAATTAAACCGTTGAATTTCAATCGTTCCGTACATGCAACTCCTCGGTCTCGCTATTCAGCTCCTTCACGGTATTCTTCAAATTTTCGAGAAGTTTCTCAGTTCGATCGAAATAAGGAGCGAACTTTTTCATGATCTTGCGAATTTTACAATACGACGCGTCGTCGCATTCCTTTGACATCCACATGTTGTATGCAATCAACGCAGGAATCGATCGTTCCATCGTCGTAATTTTGTCGCTTAAATATTTCTGTCTGCCGAGAAGATCACAACGTCGTTCTTCCATCTTTATTGTGATATCCTCGAAGTACGGCGAAAGATGTTCACCAGTCTTCATATCTGACTTTGGACCTAAAAATGAAGAAAAGAAAAATCAAAAAATGTATATAATAATATATAATAATCAACTATATATATAATAATCAACTGTCGTATACATATATATATAATCAACTACACACACACACACACACACACACACACACACACACACACACACAC